TTATAGGTACACTGAAATGTTGACATGCCTCTGGCAGAGCTTGTCAGGGTGTTATGCACGTACTAGACCCACATCAACTGACAGGACGAAACGGCAGGGTTCTGACAAAACATGCAACAAAGAGTTGTTTCCATCTCCCGATTCTTCCTCTCCATCTGACCGTTGGATTAGGGGTGAAATCCAGAGGACAGGCCAAGAGGAAAACATGCTGGCAAATGAGTTCAGCAGTTTCCTTCCCCGAAGGAATCTTGGGTATTGGAACGAAATGAGCCATCTTGCTGAATCAGTCGATCACTGTCAGAATGGCCCTCAGATGGAGGGGTAGTCTGGTGACGAAGTCCAGAGAGATGTGAGACTATGGACGATGAGGTAGAGGGAGAGGCTGCAGGAGACCGGCCGGAAACTGGTGAAAAGGTTTGTTTTGGTGGCACACTGGGCAGGCTTTGACGAATTCACTGGTGGCCTTGTTCAACGAGAGCAGGAGGCAGCTATGGATGAGGAGCCAGAGGAAGTTTCCTCCTCCTCCCCTCCTGAACTCGATCGTTGCGAACAGGTCTTGTGATCCGATGATGTTCATGTTCTGGCCGGATCACATTGTAACTGTGAGATACCGACCAAGATGCAGTACGACGGACAGCAACTGTAGTTTCAATCAGGTTTGTTTCTTTTTTTGTCAACACAGACAAACAGTTTAAAGGGACTTTGGGAAAGACGTGGTCTGAAGGCAGAAGGCTGGGTGAATTACCGGGGGTGCGAGGTAGTCCAGGACAGGCAGGGTTAGAAAACAGGGAATCAGCACAAAAAAAAGTGCTGGAAGGTCTGGCCTGAATGCGGAGAACAATCTGACAGCGAGTGAGTGGTTTGAATACCGAAGGGAGTGAGTGGACCGGTAAGTGTGATTGGGCTGTGACTAGCAGGTTCACAGAATTAATTGATTAGGTGGAGTGAGAGGTGGGAAAAACTAAAAGTTTGGAAGTAAATATTCAATGTCCCTTCTACTTAATACAAATTGGCAATTAATACATTTAGTGACTGTTGCTGCTGCTATAAAGTTGGATGGATTAATGAAGTTGATGCAGGTCATGCAGCAGATTACACCACAGTAAGGTTTGTTCAGTTCACATAGTCACACAGATGAAAGAGGAATCTTGAGTCAGACCACTTAGTCAACAGTTGAGTAATTTGTTAGATAAGAAACCGAAATTGCATAACAGAAGTCCGTCCCGCGTGTCGGGTGTCGGGTATAAAATTTCAGATCAGTATTAGATGCAACAGCCGACCTTGCTCTCACTGAAAGAACCATTTAGACTCCATCAGCGGGAAGGTAAAACTCTGATATTTTATATAAATTTTACTTAATTGCAGCAAATTTTGAGGGAATTTTTTCCTAACAAAATTAGGAAATGTGTAGATTCAAACGAAGAAACATTTAAACTTTGTTAACCCCCAAAATGCCATGGTAAAATAGAATGTCTTTGGTCAGCGGGAACTATACGCAGTGCTTAAAGTAAGCCGGTACTCACCGGTACGCCGTACCGGCACCTCTACATTTTACACTTAAGGGTGTGACACACAAACACACTTGGGTACTGGCACCTTTTTTTCCACTTCAAGCACTGGCTATATAACAATAACTTATATTAGGAGAGGTACCACTCAAAAGTACATTGTATGGATGTTTCTATTTAATTCATATGGTAAAAACAATAATGACGCTGATGTGTTGATGCAAATAAAAACAATTCAGACTTTTTTCACGTAGTTATTTTTGGCATCCCTTTTATCGCTTTGTGCAATCAAATGAGAGCAAAATGTTTTAATCTGGGTTTATACTGTTAAACCAGCCTATGTGTGGCGACAAATATCTCAATAAAATTATTGTACAGGCGGAACTCCATCATAGCTAAATTCAAATATAAGAATATTTAAAGAAAAGGTTTCTTTAGATTCAGGATGTCTGTGACACTGCCATGAGAAGCGTGAGCTTCCTGTTTTTCAAACCTCATGAATAATGAGTAAGTGCATTTGTTGCTGGCTATAAAGAGACGTGACCTACAGACATTCACAACCTGTGGATCTCACACTGATCTATTGCCACATTTTGATAACAGCTTATTTACTTTTTTATGAGGAGAAAGTGAGTTTTTCATCTTTCTTTGCTCAATCAGTGCATGACACAAGCAGGCTAAATGTTTGTGATTTATTTGGTTCTTGTTTTTTAGATGAAGTGCATCACTGTCTTTCTTGTGCTGTCGCTGGTCGTTCTCATGGCTGAACCCGGGGAGGGTTTTATCCATCACATTATCGGAGGACTTTTTAGCGGTAAGCAAGGATACTTTTTTTTACTATTCTCTTTCCTGTTAAATCAAATGTAACACTTTTTTTAATATAGAAAATAACTTTCTAAAACAACAATGTGAACAAAAAACATGCCTTATAATTTGTTTATAGCACTGTAAGATTATAGTGATAAAAAAGTGATTATTATTCATAACAATAGTAATAGTTAGCAACTAGTTAATGACACTTTATAATGCCATATTTTGTAATGAATGAGTTATTTACCATATGAAAAATGCTAATTTTCTCTTTTCTATTTTATTTAGTCGGGCATCACATCCATGAGTAAGGACTTCCATAATTTAACAACTTCTCTTGTTCTATTTGTTGTAACTTTGTTGAGCTAAACTCTCTGAATTCTCTCTCCACCCATCAGTCTCATTCGTGGAGCACGTCAAGAAGCGAAGATGGAGCAGCGAGAGCTGGAACGTACTTTCGACCGAGAGCAAGCTTTTAACTGAGTCTATGCTGAGACATCTGAAAGAGCTACCTTGTCTAAAGAGAAATGCTTCTTCCTCTTTATCATGACATTTCAATAAAATCCTTGAGCTTCATTATGGAACATATTTGTTTCTTTTGCATTATTGAAATGACCAAATAAAATAAATTAAAATGAAAATGATGTGAACTGTGTGTAATGATCTAACAGCCAAAAGACCATATCATTACCGTATTTGAAATTATGGAATTCACACAGTCGGCGCAGATCCATGATCAGTAACATCGATCCAGCAGTTGTAGTGCTTGTAGCCTGTAGTGCTTCTTTCATTTGTGTGGAAGGCTGCAGGGGTTGTACATTGCTCGCAGCGTGCAAAATTGCAGCTAATTCTTGTTTATTGAGTAAAAACCCTCAAAGTACAAGTTGTTTTATCAGCTAGTTGAATAGTTGCATTCACTAACTCTACCAACAATCCAACAATCTTGTTTCTAAGCAATAAACTTTAAAAAGTTGGCACAGTAGGTGTAAGCTAATCAGATAAGGTGTAATGTGATAGGTGATTGCTTTGGGGAACTACAATCAAACTACCTTAAATTAACGGGCTGCGCAACTGCTGTGAAAGAGATGAGAGTCCACTTAAATGTTCTGCAAAACCTGTGCTGTACACTTATATATTGTGTGCCGTTAGTTAAGCTGCCAATGTATGCTATCAATATAACACAATCACCAAATAACCAATGGTATACACATTGCAAATACAAATGGCTGTCGAAGGGCAACTTTTATGGCTTCATGAGTCATGACCAGGGACAGAAGAACCACTAATGTTTTGTTTCCAATTATTAATTCATCAATAGACAGATACACCCCAGTATATTATGCCACTATTAAAAGCAGACACAAAGATGGACAATGAGGTGCCAAAGGCAAACGTGTAGTCACTACTGTTTAAACTTTGGGGAAAGTTTACGCATTATACTTACACTTTTTATGAGTACCTGGGGTACTCATAAAAAAAACTCATAAAATCCAAGGCCAATGCATTGACCATGTGAGAAAACTGCAGCACCCAGAAGAAACCCATATGAGAATCGAGTAATGAAAGACCCAGTTCAAACCGTCACTGTCCTTGCCGAAAGGTGTTAGGGATTTAAGCCAGAAGTGCACCCCTAGTCAGGAAATTATAGTACGTGTAATAATGTTTAGTGTTAGAATTAAAGTTTGTGTGTTATTAGATATTAGTTATTACATTAACATGTTAGATGAAGTGAATGCAATTTCAATCAAACACAATTCATAGTCATTTAAATCATATAAACACTGTACACATTAACATTCTGCTACAATGTGATGTTAAAACCTGGGGACGGATGCCAATTGCCGTTCTTTATGGATTTCTTCCAATTTTTTCCCAAAGATGGTTTTTTGGGAGTTTTTTCTCCTGTCAGGTAATAAATGAACAACTTAATGTAAGGCAGCCGACTGAGGCAAATGTCTTGAGAATTGAACCACATTGAACTGTCTTAGATCTTATGATGAAGTGTGATGAACGGTGATCATTAATGATGGGTTGTTGTAATGAAAGTGTACTAGTTATAAGATGAAGACTTAAACGATGTATGCTTTGTTAAATTCCCTCATTGGGGCATAAAGCCAACTGTATCTACATTGAGTGCATTGGAATGTGAGGGACAGATAGTACAGTGAGGTTTCAGGTTACAGCTGCAGCATCACACCTCGACGTGAAGGGGACAGTCCAGGAGGTCGCCCTTTGGAGAAAAAGCCAATGACATTCAAATGCACCAAGGAAGACACACCTCAAGAGTTTTCAAAGGACCATGGCGGGGAAAGGACTGGTAGAATCTGACCTGCAGCCGCCTTGAAAAGTCACTTTAGACTTGCTCCGAGGATTCTCTATTTCGCGAAATATTCCACTGTTCGCTTAGTATTTCACTTTGTAATTGCATTCCTTATAACGTTGTTTAGTTATTAAATACTTTTTGATTTTTGAATTTAAACGAATTGACTCATTCGTGTCCTCGTTTCCGGCCGGGACGAGAACAAAGGATTGAGGCCTCCCTCGAGAGCCTTCCGAAACCCTAACAAAGGTAGCAGTGCATAACACTCACTACACAATGTAGGACTAATGTACTCAGTACTAAATGGATACAGCACTTTTGTGAATGAACATCAAACAGACTTTTGCCTTTGTCCTCTAATCCAGGGGTCCCCAACCTTGCTGCCTCACGGAGTGATTTCACGTTATACAATATTTCCAGGACCTGCCTTGAAGGTGTGGCAGATAAACACAAAAAAATAACCCTGCCACAGAGGGGGTTGGAAGCTGGAGCAGTTGCGGACTGGGGCAAGGAGTGGGCAATTGTAAATGTTAAAAAAAAGCTGGGTAATGCTTGGGAAATATGTCCAGAGGGACCAGCACACGTTATTAGGAGAGAATCTGGTCAATTTTCGAATTAAAATGACAAAATATATTTTCTTTTTCTTTCTGTGGTGCAGCCCAGTAACAAATGGCCCACGGACAGGTTTTGGTGGTTGTGGACCCCTGCTCTAATCAACCACCAGTAGATGTTGTGGTGCGCACCTCACCTGCTGTCAAACGAACAACATCAAATGATCCATTTTTTTTAACCCTTTCATGGCAACCTATTGTTTGTATTAATGGTTAATCATCCAATTTAAATTTAAGCCGGTTACTGCTTCCCTCAACATGTGAAGGATTACTCACTGACACATAATGTGCTGATCTTATGTTGTGTGTTAGACAGAGCCAACAAAGTTCTGGTGTGTGTTCTGGATGAAACTTTTCATCAGCCTTAATGTGTTGATGGCTGATAAATGTTCTTGCACAGTAAAAGTGACTTGACATCTGATAAGATCTGCGCACTTCCCCATCCAGCTAGCTTGTTATGTTGGAGTATTTTAACACAGTCGTGAGAATGTTTACCATTTCCCACGCTAGGGTTTTTCAATGCCTCGCTCATACCCGATTACACAACTTTTTGTTTTGTTTTATAAACAAAGGTTTCAAAAGATCTCCCTTGAAATTAATTTAAATTAAACTTCCTGTCACGGTGTGGTTCACTTCCTGTCTTATTTTGTAGTTTTCTGCCACTCGTGTCCCCGGGTAACTTCACTTCCTGCCTTGTCTCGTCATCCCCTGTGTTCCTCTAATAGTTTCCACCTGTGTCCAATCACCTGCACCTCCCTTGTGTATTTAAGCAGTGTGTCTCCTGTGTCACTTGTCGCGTCATTGTCTTTCGTCTCACATGTTGCCTGCTGGTTTTCCTCCCGGTTCCTGTGTTTTTGACCCTTTTGACTATTAAAGTCTTTTGTTTCCCGCAAGTCTGCGTCTGAGTCCTGCCTTCCACCCCCAACCCTGACAGAATGACGCGACCAAAGAAGGGCTCAGCAGACCCGCTGCCAGACTACGGTCCGGACTACCTGGACGTAAGGAGTCCCTTCTGGCAGCGGAAAACAAACTGTGTTTTTGGTCCCAGGAGCTATCAGCTCGCCTGCCTCG